CCTGGGCAAGGGCCTCGCTGATCACGCTTCGAAGTTGGGCGGTACGAAAGCATGTTTTGCAGTAGCTATGTTCAATGTTAGCTACTATCACAGGTAGACACGTCAATTTTCCATCTTACTCTCGATGGGCTTTTTCATTGTGTCGAAAAGCAGCCGCTTTTCGCGCTTATGCTTGAGCTCGGCTTGAAGCTGCGCATACGGACATCCTTCGTGAGACTGATCCGCATTGAATCTAGCAATGCTTTCCACAGTTGGCAGGGCATTGACGAGCGCATCCAACCCCAGAATAAGGAGGGTAAAGGAGAGAATTGAAAACTTCATCACAAACGAAAAGGCGACGGTTCCGAGAAAAGAATATATGAAACGAATGACTGGAACCTAAAGTCTGCTCATGTAAAATATCATACGGCGTCTGGGAAAGGAGTGGACAAGATCAGATGATCACAGATCTCGAAAATGAGTGACAAAATGATTGGATTCTCCAGTTCGACCAAGGCAAGCTTTGTCGAAGGAAAATGGGAACAGTTGGATACCTCGAAGAGCAAGAAGCAAATAGGGGCCAGAAGATCCAGGAAATATTTCGGCCCAAACCGACCAGAGGCCGATCATTCAGTCTGTGGTGAGGAATTCACATCCCCAAATCCAGCCGCATCATCAGCGGTTGAGCAGCTTTGCTGAATGTTGCTGACCTACGATACTAGTATACTAGCTCCACCACGGGAAGGGGGAGGTAACCTGTGCAGCCCTAAACCGACAGGGTTCAGTTGGCGCAGCGTCAAGCATGGAAGGGGGAACTGGACATGGCTTGGAATGAACCAATGACTCCATTTTCATTATTCAGTAGGTCGCCGCCTGCTGGAAGTAGACTTGGTCCAAGCAGGCACTGAACGAGGACTTGTCGAAGTCGTCTCTCTTGTGCAGGGGGTGGACTGGGCATATTGGACCGGCGAGGTGGATGCATACTAGCGCAACGATGCCAACCCTTGCAACATTACTCATAGGATTTGGTGATAAGCTTCTTTTAAGAAACCTCGAAAAACATGGGGAAAGGGAGATCCTTATCCTATGCTGCCAGGACTCAGGAGGCGGACAGGGCAACTTAGCACAGGACTTGGTGCATGTTTCATGACCACGTGACATCCTCCTCCATCAGATTCTCCCACCGTGACATCGACTCGGCTTTCTTGGATCAACAAGAACCGTCCAGATGTGCCGATTCCCAACCCTTAAGGTTTCAGAGTGACAAGGGCATGAACGTGAGTCAACATATGAATGCCTTCAGATAAATTGAGATGTGTTCATTTCTAGTGGGCGGCAGCTCTGCGAAGTGAGCTTTGTCATTGCAACATACAAGCATTACCATGGGACACGAGAGCACTTCTTGATCATAGCTAATGGACTGGACTGAATATGCGCGACATTGACCACTTAGGATCGAAAGAACGCCAAATTCTCAATCCAACAGACTCTCTTTTCTTCAGAAACTTGGATACCGGAAACACATGGATGACAGAGAGTGTACTACAGAACAATGTCCAAAGGAGCCCATTCCTGTTGGGACTAGTCGTATTCTTAATTAATTAAGAGTGGTAAGAAGCGGCCCATGAGGTTAAGAACCGAGAAACCATCCTCATTATGATCTCCTGCACGGACAGTTTCTTTGCCAATGCAAAGTGTGACCTTTGAAGAGAGGTTCGAGTTGGTGGGCGTTGGTTGGCGGCTTTGACCCAGCATATTGTGTCTCTTACCCCCCACTCACCTCCTTATTACTGGGAGCCCAGGGGTATACGACCCGTGGGGGATGTCGAACAGCATGCTCCCTTAAAGTTATCCCCGGTAAAACCAACGTGCTTCCGGTCAGAATTTAATTTCGCATACTTGCTGATAAGCCTTGTGCGGGCAGAACCCCGTTTTTACTGCGTTTACTATGTATGGGAACGAAGAAGACACTCAGCTAGTTCGTCTATCGAGATTTTGTTTGGCTCGCTTCTGTCCTAGACTCTTGGTCTAACACCATCCCAACCTCACCCGAGTATGGGTATGTTTGAGGCTTACAGGGTTTGTTCCTCTCTTGGCTTTCAGCCTCTGGTCGGTGATCAGCGTCAGCAACTTTTAGTTTATTTGCTTGACGCATCGTTGAAGTTTGTTTGTGATCCTACGGAGTATGCTTCCTGAAGTTGACCTCTCTATTTGTGACCATAAGCCGTTTGATACGATTACTTGAGAGAAGCCGAGAGCGACATTCCGCGATCCTAGCCGAACCTTCGGAAGCTGGAAGATGGAACCCCCGTCAAGCGCTGACGCCGAGTTGAACCTAAAGGACTATCAATCCTCGGCCAGAATCTCAATTTCTCTTGCTCCTTGTGCCCTGGGAACAATTCACTTTGGTCCACCGTCAAAAACAGCAGCCGCTCATGTATATTTTTTTGAACAGGATTCGTGAA